GGGAAAGAGCAGAGTTAGGCTCCAATTAGTAAAACGATCTATATTCACACACTATATATAGCTCCTGTCTTCAAACCAGCACCGTGAACACCTGCCGTTCCACTGTTTGCTGCCTCCCTTTTCATCGTGCTGTCTGTGAACAGCCTGTTTGCGGTATTTCATCCTCCCCCGTGTAACTGCCGTGACTTTTAACTGTCGAGCACCTGCGCCAGCGTTGTGTAAGGTGGGCAATGCGGAACAGGATATGGAAATACCAGAACAAACAGCAAAAGACCCCAGCCAGCTTCACAAAGCCAGTGCTGGGAGGCAGATCTGCACCAGGTCTGCAAAGTGATGAACAGCACTGCCTCACCTTGAAGCAAGGTAAAATGCATTACTGAATACTCTGGGACATTAACTTAACACTGGCACTGATCCTAATCGTATTGATCTCACTCCAGACAGGACTGTACCTGAGCCTGTGTATCTCAAAACTGCAAAATCCATAACGTCAGTGGCAGTGTAAAACACAGACATTCTTTTTAAACAGGGTTCCTGTGGCCTCTGTGCTTATTATATATTATGGCCTAAAATCTGGTAATTTAACGCTCATGTTCATTAATGCTTCAAGCAAATGGCATCTTAATGACATAAATTTCCTTAATTAATTCTAACATACTACAGTTTGCTCCATTATTTGCTGCCACTGTAGAGAGAAAGGGCCATATTCTCACTTATTCTTATATTATTTATGAAAATCAGTATTTTTCCTCCTCCCATACTTGTTATGGAGAACATCCCCTCTGCTTAATCTTAGTACTGTGAATATAGTATCCATGTGAATATCATGGTCATCAAGACATCTAGCATTTAGTAAGATGTCAGGAATAGTTAAAATTGTAGCAGATGGGATAAGATGTATTTTTCTGCAATTTTTTAAAAAAATTGTAAGTCTCCTGTCTTCAAAATATTTGGCAGAAATTTTCAACTTTAAAAAATTGAATTTTAAAATATCCATTTATTTTCTGAAAAAAATAAAAAAAGGCAAATTGCTAATGGAGCCAGAATTTTCAACAAACATTTTTCAGGGAAAATACCTGCTATTTGTAAGGTTGTTTACTGACATTTTAGAAGAATCTAAGACTCTCATAGAATTAAATAATTTTGTCCCACTTCAAACGCATACTGCTGTTCTGGTATTCAGTAAGGTATGGTGCCAGTCTTTTCAGTTCAGCTGGTTTTGTCATCTTACCAGCATCCTAAATATATTTTTGACTTGCACTTTAGAATTCTTTAATCCAAACAATGAAAGCCAAAGCTGAAAATCTCCGGCATTGCCATGCATACTTTTCCTATTCAGAACAAAATGTAAAGCCTAACTTCAGCTACGTGCCAAGCAACCAGGGCAAAGCCAGGGTTGTCGAAAGAGAGATTTTTTTTCTTGTTTAAACTTGTAGGAGAAAAACGTGCCTGCTTGCAGGCACTCAGGCCTTTCTGAAACTCAGAGCGTTACCAGCCTGAAACAGGAATAGCAACCCTGTATTGCTGTGGGTTCAGAGGAGGTTGAAAATCTAATTTCATGCTCAGCTCTGTGGTGTAATTTCTGAAACTGTATTTTCCCCAAGCAGTCACAGTCCTTTATTCCAAGTGTTTGAATTAACACGATTAATTTTACTGTGAATAGGTTCAAAATGGTAAGGAATTGCCATGTTGTGGTAAAAGGATATAGGGTTCAGTAATACAGGGCTGAATGGGTTGCTAAAAGCGTTTTTAGAAGTCCTGCAGCTCTACACACACGTGCACACTCCAGGCATATGAGCAGGCTTAGAGGAGTGAAGGGGATCGTCTGAGCCTCGCCGAGCGTGCAGGCCAAGGAGAACTGGCGCTGCAGCCAAAGGAAATTTTACCTCGGCGTTCAAGGAGAGCAGGATTAGTCACTAACCCATGGCCTTGCCAGATTGAACTGACTTTATTTAATGGAAAGGCAAATCATCCATTACAAACGCATGTGTGTTGCGCTGTGAAAATGAATATAGCGTGAAATTAGTTTCAGATAGGGCTTAGAGCAGATGCAGTTTTCCCCAGTAGTGTTTCTGACAGTCCTTACAGGCACCGTTGTCCCATTGCCTGCACTGGGAGCTGCGGAAGCTGGGAGTGCTGAAGGGATTGAGCCATAAGATTTCCCTGACATTAGGTGGCCTCACACCTCTTAGTTCTCCTTGAGTATTTTCTGAACCACACTCAGTATTTTATTATTATAATCCTCAGGGAGTATTTTTCTCATCATTGGTCACAGTTTACAAATGGTTTTCCCCTCCTGGATCTCTTAGAACTGCCTGATTCTCCCTCTAAAATACTTGCAGCTACAATCTGCTTATTTCTCTTGGTCGTGACCAGAAAATGTATTTATTGTCTTGCAAAATGGAAGAATTGGTACCAGTAAAACAGAAAGACTCTAACCAAATTTGGAGAAGATGGGCTTGATCCTCTCTCGATGCTGTCCTTCCCACCTGAACAAGTGATTAAAATTTATGGTGTAGAATACTGGATCAAAATGATGATATATTGTACTGCATAGAACTTTCTTAGGAAACGTGTAGCTAGCCCCCTTTCATGAAGAGTTCTTCGTTTAATAAAATAGTTTTGACTTGAAAAAAGCAAATCATGAGTAACAACTATCCATACAATTAGTCAGGCAAGGTGTTAGTCTGGCATTCGGCTAGAGTCAGAATTTGGGATGGGCCCGTGTTTGTGCTTTGCACTGATACGGTCTCTGTCTGTGTGCTATACTGCAGGAGGATGAGCAGTTCTGTCTTACATTAAATTTCTATTTCTTACATACTGGTTATTGCTGCTCAGTGCCAAATATGTTACATACTGTACATTCTGCAAATTACAGACTGTCTAATTCTGCTATAATTGATAAACCAAATATAAGGTGCGACTCTATCAGCAGTGGCAAACCTCCTAACATATTATAATGAGGAAATTGGTGAATGTGACAAGAATATCATCAGTGTGACTTGAAGCAAGTCACTTGAGCATCTGAATCCCTTTTGTACCTTCTCCTAAGTTTCTGAAGGAGTTCAGGCATGTCAGTAGGACCTATGAGCCTAGAGAACTTTGTGCATCTGCCCTTAAATTTCATTGCACCCCAGTCCCTTATCTTTAACACCAACATTACCTGCCCCCCTGGTGTGTAGTGAGGATAACACTATGAAATATAACAAGATTCTTTGAGGACTTAAGGAAATCTTAAATATTATTTCATATTAATAATAAATAAATGTCTTACGGTATGCAGTTGGCTCTCTTTGGCACTGTAAAAGCTCCACTGAATAAAGAAATTTGCCAGCGGTGCAGAACTGGTGTATGTACAGAGAAGGGTTGCATTTCCACCTGTAGTGACATTCACCGTCTTCTCAGGGACGGTCACCACAACACCGCAGACGTGGCCTGTGGACAGTAAGTGTGATGAGGAGAGATCAGATGCAGCCAACACTGGGAGCCATGCAGGAGTGCCTCGCTCCCTGCATTATTGAAGAAACCCATAGGATATTTCTAGGCATTTTCCTCGGTGTGGCTTTGTCTGGAAATTTTAGTGATAACAAGCTGAGAGTTTGTAAAAGCTAATGAGCAAATAAATCCTCCAGAATACTTGTGCCCTTACAACAAATCATATTCTGAAAAGGCAGAGTTCCTAAAAACGTGCTTGTTCTTACTTGCAGACTTCTCACTAAGAGCCTGTGGCTAAACCAAACCGTCCTTCTGCACTCGCAGTGCTCTCCTGCACCTTGCACCCTAAGGTGCTGCTGTCTCTAGCCCTCTTTTACACTCTTCTTGCCTTTTTATTTTACAGTTACTCCTTTAGATGTCTGATCTTCTTTACTGTGGAGCACCATCTCCTACAGTGTTGCCTCTTCTTATATTATTACTTATTCTGTCTCAACAGAATAAGGGAGCAAACATTCGGGAACATTGCCCAAAATGTTCTGATCGGTCTTGGCTACACAGCCATATTAATGAAAGGGATTGAGCATCATCTTACAGTATTTATCTGCCTCTGTCCTCCATATAAGTTACTAGCAATGGTGACATACAGCAAACAGAGCTAGAGCTGTCAGAAAAGTATGGGGTTTGCTAGATTACTTATTTAATTTTTTAAGCTACTGCCTACAGATTCTGAAAGAGTATCTATTTCTTTTGAATGTGAAGGAAAATGTAAGCCTTCAGAGCTTTCTATACAAAATGAGCAAGGTGAGAACCTCGTGTTACAATAATTTTCATGTGGGCTCATTGCATAGATGAATGGTAGAAGCAAAACATACAAAATAGTATTCCCAATGGAGTATCTGCACATCTTGTATTTGGGTGCTGCTTTTGAGAGTTTAAGCAGAACCTTCAGGAAGACCTAAAGAGTATTTTGCTCACATTATCAGCTCTATGAGACATTGTTTAAAAAATAAATATGATCTATTTTGACATTTTTAACCATGTAAATATTGCAGATTCTTCAGTTGCTACAGTATGCAAACCTATCTGAACCTAGAGTCTGAACTCTTCGGGGTCTGTTTTCCTTGTTTGACAGCTTCAGTAGTAAAAGCTCACTGCAAGTAAAAAGGGAATAATCTACTTTCCACGTTGTTGAAATGTGGCTAGGATGAGAACTAGCAGGTTTAAACTACAGGAAGATTTACATTATCTGTGAAGACAGTCTCACAGGAACAGCTGGAGACTGACCTAAATGTGTCAAACCTGTCTTGGGGAAAGAGGGGATCTCAGAGCTGGCTGCAGGTCCTGCTTGTCGTGTGAGTTCACAGTAGCTTAATCCCTACTGAGATCTAACATAAATGCTCTGTAGTATTATTTTAGGTATCTCAGTTCACTGTTCTCAGCTTTTAAGAATTATGGCCAGAGAATGATTTCTTGCCACAGTGATACGTTCAGGTTTACATGTATTTATTTTCTGCTCTTTGTAGGAGTAAAGCTATGGTCTTTCAACACAATGTCATTCTACTGAAAACGTCGATTTTCCCATTATCTGCTCCACATATTTCTCTATCATTCCCTGGTTTTGGAGTCAGGAGTGCCACAGAACCTGGCTGTTAGAAGCTTTTCTAGAAAAAATTAATTTTAGCAGAAACTACTCCACAAAGCATTCTAGTTTCCATGAAGCTGTATATTTTGAAGAAATAAGTTTAGTTGAAATAAGCTTCACTCCAGTAAAAACATAAAGTCAAAAGCTGTCAAACTTCCATTGTCCAGCAAGGCTATTTAAAGCCATCAGTAACTGTAAGGTCGAGCTTTTGACTGAAAATGGAGTGAACCAGACCCACAGAGCCTGTTCCCTCATCTCGGAAGTTAATGGGAGTTTTGCTTTGCCTTTAGTTCACTGTTGACGGTTTCAAGCTCATAATCCCATTTCATATATGCAGTCTTTTTGGTTTAAATGAAATAAAACACATGAGTAAGAAGTAAGGCAGAGAAAAAAGCAAGTGTGAACAGGACCATAACTTGTTGAAAATAGTTGATCCATGTCTTTCTCATCAATATTACGGTAAGACCATTTCCTTGCTACAGAGAAAGTCATTGCACTTAGCTGGGAATTGCACATTTTCACTGAAGTCCCATGCAGTTTTTAACACTCATGAAGTAAATCCAAGTCTGCTGATCTTCCCCTAGCCACCACAGAAACCCCCAGGCAGTGGTGCCCATCAGCATGGCCACACTGTTGGTCTTAAATCCAGAACTTAGGAGTAGGAGACATTGTTTTGAAAAGCATTTATACTAACACTGAATTGCTTTTCTAAGGCAAAAATCTGTGGGGTTTATGTGTGTGAGAGAGATAACATTGAAACACCAGGAGCAACTCTTTGAAATATTTCTCTGTCATCCACACCAAGTAATTCCATCTTGAAAGGAAAATGTGGAAACTCACTTCCATTTTCCTTGGTTGCTACAGAGGCTGTTCATCTCTGTGGAGCATTAGACTTAAAATGTCTTCTTCTACATAAATTAAAAATGAAGCTTAGCACAATTCTTGAAACATGGATAATATATCATCTTTAATATACTACATAATTCCTAGATTCCACAAAGCGTCACATCCTAACTTAACTTCAGGGAAATCTAAAGGATTATTGATATGCTTCAGGTTAGTCATCCCCAATTTCTTTCTTTTTGTGGAGGTGGGATCGAGGCAACATTTCCCAAGGCTGCTCTCAAGGGGAGACAAGCTAAGCTTGAAACACTTGAAAGACCCTAACGCTCAATGTGAGAGCCCTCTGCCTCTTCCTGGCTTTAGAGAAAATAATTAATTTACCAAAGCTAAACTTCGGTTCTTGAGCAAAAAACTCTTACCAGTCTGTTATCTGCTCGCTGACTTCCACAAAACGGCGCAGCATTGTAGCCATGATTTTAATTGCATTCTGAAATAAATCTTGAATGTTCCCCTAGTTTGCCAGTCAGGTTCACCTGCTCTCTTATTGCACCAAGTTCCTTTATTCCAGTGCTATTTCATTCAGTTTGTTATTCTTACCTGTAAGGATGGCTAGAACTGGAAATATCTTCAGCATCGTTGCAAACAGCTTCTTGACGCTGGGAGAGAAAAGCGACCAGATGCTGCTTCCACTTCAAGTAGAGCTCAACTGTTATTTTTTTTAAGCGGGTTTTTGTTTTCCTTATCAGCTGCGTATCAACATGTCAATATGCCTTTGCATTCTCCTTCTTTATCACGTGTGTGCCTTTCTCCGACCAGTAGTGTGACTGTTCAGTTGAAACCATATTGTGGGGTTTGAGCAACTGAGGGTTTTGTTAATAATAAACCTTTGAGTCAGAGAAGCCCAGATTCTCCCACTTTTACCAGGGCCCAGTGGTGTTTGCCTGTGTAAGTACTTCCACTGAGTACAAGACAAGTATTTGTGGAGCTCTGTAACAGTCAACCTGATTACCAGTGCTGGAGTCAGACCTAATACGAATAAGGAATAATCTTTATTTCCTGTTAATTCTATAATTTCTTTTTTTTAAAATGGGCATGTGGAGATAATATGTTTTTAGTACATTTTCATTTAAAAACGTATTTCTTATACATTATTATACAGAATTATTGCATGGGACTCATGGTTGCCTTGAAATTTCTGTATTGAACTCGTCAATAAGCTAACGCACCACAGTAAAGATAAAATAAACATTATCTTCTAAACTGATGATAAAATCTGTTTCATCTAGTTTTAATCTATGAAGTTGGATGCTACTAATGCAAAAAGACAAGGTGAATTATATTGATTTTTATTTAGAAGTTAATACCTGATTTGTATAGTACAAAAGCAGTGCATGAAGGACTGGTGGATGAAGAAGGTTAGGACTTGAAGAACTAATTACAGTAAGTTACTTTCTCCTCAGTGAATGCTAAACACCGTCTCTAAGTCTCCGAAGCTCATTAGAAGCTAAAGGTGCTAAGCTTCTTGCAGGAGCCAGCTTGCATTTTTTTACTCCTTGTCATTTGGTTGAGGCTAATTCAAAGCCCCAAGCTGCAATGGGAGTAGCTGGTTCTGCGTACACAACCATGTGTGAGTGAGCGGCTGAAGACGTAACAGAGGGCAGCATTGCCTTTTAGATGTGTGTCTGTACCTAGGGCCAAGACAATTGCAATGGTCAGCGACTTTTTTTCCATGCTCGTTGAACACTTGGGCCTGGTTCATGCCTGATGATCCCATCTTTCTAGGGACGAGCAAGGGCGGCTGCCCTCTCCATGGCAAAGGCTGGGGAAGCCCTTTTGGCAGGTGGGGCTCAGCATCTGGCCATTTGTGGTTGGAGTGGAGGAGTCTGCCCAGGCTTTCCCTTTTCGCTGATGCGATGTGGTGGTAGATGCTTCAGCATAGAAGTGGTGAGTTACTGGTTGCATCAGTTACTATTGGGATCGGGTTTATGGGCTTAGGTGAATTTTATTCTGCCAGATATTTCTGTACATCGCAGATGTCTGAATAATCTGTGGCCAGGTGTCAGGGTTTGATCATATTCTTGTATAAACCATCTCCAGAAGTTTTATAGATTATGTCTTTTCCTTCCTTTTCACTGTCAGCACTTCACTCAGCATTCCCACAGGGTGGGCAGCGCTTGCCATTTAATGATAGGAAGGACAGGACTTAAAGCAGTGAAATGTCTCATCCGAGGATGCATGGGTGACCCAGAGTCCAAAAAGGAATATGTACTTTGGAAGACTGAAATTCAAATTCAGGTTTCCTCCAAAATGTGAAAAGCATTTAGTTTCACTAAAGAAGCATGGAGGGATCCCATATGCACAGGGGAAGTTGTCACTGGCTTCCCCCAGGTTAGCCTAAAATGGGAGCTGCTGCTGTTTTCCAGGCATTTAGCTATGGATGACCACAAACAATCTGAACATGAGCACCATCTACAGACCCAGCAGTGATCACCTGTGGCAGGTCCGTAACACCCAGAAAGAATCTGAAGAATCAATGCTCAGAGCATTGATCCTATGCAAAAGACAGCAGTTTTCAAGAAGATGCAAAAACCGTCACCAGGTTAGCACGCACCTGCATGATTCTGAGTCTTTACCACAGTATCAGTGTGTCCTCTAACTCCCTCTCATTCATCAACACCGAAGTCCTCTCCTTGGCACTTAAGGCACCCTCAGTTTATGTATATTTTCTCCCTGTCATATTCACTTTTTCTGAATTTAGTCTCAGCAAGATGACAGAACGACATTCCCAGACGGTGAAATGCTCCATTTGACCAGAGAACAGGAGCCAGTAATGCAAATTCTGCACTAATATGTGTCTGTTTAACCTTGGGGGACAGGGCTGAGATTACAAATTACAGAGTGGGTATGGCTCGTAGCAAATGATTACAACCATCAGTCCTGTTTTACAGAGGACACTGAACACCAGTAGCATTTACTTTTGACTGGCACCAGCCTGGGGCTCATTTCACACTGTCAAACAAGCAGGGTGAACCCCAATGCTAATCTTCCAAGCCATCCAGGGTTATTCTCCTGTGAAGGCAATAGATGGTACCTGTCAGCTGCTGGTTTTGCCTCTAGAACATTGCTGCTAGAGCAGCACTGCCTGTTCAGATGTCACCTTAGGAGAAGATTTGAACACAGAAAGCAAAATCTAGTTTGGTTTGATGATGGTTAAGGTTCAATTACAGTGGGATGCAAAAGAAGCTCTTTCTTACTCTGACAGCCATCGGCTAAGAGGAGAGAACAGCCCCGAGTGCAATGGCAGCAGTCACTTTGCCATGGGTGGAGCCAAGACTCTTATCTCAAGAGTAAATGGAAGGGGCCAGTACCAGGAACTGTATGTTAACAGACTTTGTGACTCAAATCTGTGTACACTGAAACGTATTCAGAAATGTTCCCTTTCAAGCAACTCCCTTGTATTCACTCTATAAATAGAAGTGTCAGTCATTAAAAAAATGAAGCCCAGAGGCACACCCAGAGCAAGGCAGCATCCAGAGCAAGGCAAGCACTGCAGTGATATTTAGGGGTTGCTTCTGACAGCCTGAAACCTAATTTAAAACCTTCCTGTAGAATTCCATGCTTAACTTGACAAAGCTCAGCAGCACTTCAGCTGCTTTGTCTTCCTGAAATGTGCTAAATGTGTGACTGTAAAAGACACCAAACCCAGCATAACATGATTTACAGAGCTCTCTAGTTCAGTATCACATCTGATTGCTGAGGATGAAGAGTGTAATTAAAGGTTCAAACAAGTACAGTGAAAGAGGTGCTTTAAGCCTCTAAATCCATCATTAGGTTGAGTTTCAAACGCACTTTACAGTTTGCTTGCTTATTGCACAGCCTTATTTGTTGTCTAAAAAAATTTATAAGCTTTTGCTGGAGTGTTTGCTGCCTAAAAGTTAATTCATGAACTCACTGTTATTTTCAAGCTCACAGAGAGTTCATGTCTGTAAAGGTACCAATAATATAACCTCTTCTGAGGAGAGCTCCATGGCTTGTCATCTCAAAATAACTTGATCAGAAATATCCTTAATCTCCTGTATCAACTTCCCAGAAAAGACCTTCACGCTGGCTGGCCCCAGCTGCCTGTGGAGGAACATTTGTAAAGAGCCCTTTGTGGAGATACAGTCTGAAAGTTTTCAGGAAAAATCAGATGCAATGTACCCTTCCATCTTACTGCTCTTCCCAACCAAGGCAGCAGGCTGCAAACTTTCAGCATCTTTTTGAATCCACTGGGAACAAGCAGATATCCATGAGCGTTTTAAATATACCCCCTGTGGGGCTGGCAGTGGCCTGGGCTGTTATTCTAACATTTCCCACATTTCTAGACTATTGCAGTTGGTATAGCTTGGACATTTTAGATAGCTCAAAAATGTGGCAGGCAATTAATTCAATGGAATTTTGTTAAGAGCATGCAAAGTGCTAGACCTCTGCCATCTGATCCGGCCGTTTGACAGACACAGAAGATGTGAGAAGTTTTCTTACCGTGTGATGTCAGTAGGAAGCTGATGCCTGCTGCAGTCGAAGGGGTTTGTTTATGTGCAACACATGGCAATAGAGCTCTAACACCTGTACCAACAGTGGTGTTTATTTAGTCAGTCAAGTCCCACATGAAATCAGTGTGAATGGAAGCAGCTGGATAAATTTGTGTATCTGGCTCAGGCCTTTTAGGTTGATGGTAACAACCCTCTGTCTTCCTTGCCTTCTGTCCTGAGAAAAGCATCAAAAAAGCAGAGAAGTGGCTGCTTGTGATGCTGTCCCAGACATCCTGAGGATGCCAGGGTAGCATCCGCTGACCGGGGACTGGGCTGCCCTGGACTTTGCTGGACTGGGATGATGGGAGTGCTGGGGCGAGTTTTGTTGCGGAAGCAGGGGATGGTTTTGTAGCAGTTGTGGTGTTAGTCTAAATGGTAAGGTTTACCCTCTCATTTGGTGGCTGAGCCGCGCACCACAAGTGCTGAAGAATGACTTTCTAACAAAAAGTGCCACCAACAAATAACCCATTTGTGAGCTGTAGCTCAGATGTCAAAACCAAAGCAAGCTCTCTGCTGCATGATAAATCACAGTAAAATGGTTCTGTCTTTGTAGAATTGCTGTTCCCTTGAATTTGCATTGGCTTCATAACCTTTTCACTGTGTATGATTAGCCCTCATTGTTGTCTTTTTTTTTCCTCCCAGTTCTTTTTTGTGTAGTTTCAAAATTGAAGCTAATAAAGCAAAACAAAATGGAAAATTCACAGTGGGGAGCTGGGGATTAAGCTGTCTGTCAACTTTATTGGAGGAAAAGGTCTTTTTCCTAATCATCGTTTGCATTTTCATAGGTTAACAATTTCTGAAACCGTTAAGTGATATTGTTCCTTGAGTTTGGCAGCGTTTGTTGTACTCGTCTAAAATGAAAAATGCTTTCAGCTTAAGAGTAGATATATCTGTATAATTTATATGGTGCCTGCTTGCCCTAACAGGTATGATAATGTAATTTTAGTATTACTGTGCCAAATTAAAATCTGGCATAAAATTCATGCAGTTGTGCTGAACTCTATGGTGTCCGCCTGCTTCTGCCATCTCTGAACTGCAGAGTTTAGGTGGATAGATGCTAAAACAGTGCTAGTGTTTGCTGCTTTTCAGAC